TGACGGCCTCTCTGACTTCGTTGGGCTTAGATTGCCAGGTACCGAGACCGATTGCGGGAATCTTGTCGCCCGTGTTCAGGGCGTAGGTCTTCCTACAGATTGGAAATTGTTAGCGAAGCAATTCTCTTGCACATCACCATCTCACGATCACGTACTTCGTATGCTGGAGAGTCGACATTTTATAGGATTGAACAAAGAATATACTAGCTGATGTTCTGGATTGGAATGCAGCTGCAGCAAGGGACGAGGGACGAGGGAGAGAACATGGAAGATAAGGGGTGAAAGAAAGATTTATAATCTGTCTTGAGCTCCGAGCCGCGAGGAACCGCATAGTTAGGCAGGTCCAAGCAGTAGGCTATGACGCTATACGAGCTACGATGGGCGGAGTTGCCCCTCTCAAGGAGTGGGGGAGCATCCGTAGATATGTCTGGCCAGCATGGGAGCAATTATCCGAGCGGTATGCCTCTTTATCCAGGCATTCTTCGTTTGAGCAAATAACAGAACCTATATCAGAGACAGAGTTTGAAGATTCCTTGTAAAGCATGGCATCTATCGATTCGATCGTTAGTAAGCGAGAAAAAGAGGTCAGGAGCGTCAGATAAGCATTCAGGCTGTAAACCACCTGCAGTATTTGGAGTAGTCCCAGTTATCTGGGTCCCTAAATGGAACCTCGCAATGTTGCGTTGGCAAAAGTCCGGTGAGTGGGCCTGCATCCAACATGCATTTTGCCTAAAATGGACTGATTAGGAGAGTTCTTAGTACAAGGCGGTGACGGCAATAGTAGCCATTCACCGCCTCATTTCTGCCCGTCTATCACAATAGTACCACAACGCAAGCTCAAGATTCTCCTCGCACCATCCGCGCCGAACGACGCAAATCTGCTAAGCTCGAATATTCTTAATAGAGTATCGTCACCGATTGCTGAAAGCAAGTGATTATTACGTATTTGCTGTCACATCTGCATCATACTCCCGGAGGTAGCTTGCATCTACAGACATTGAGCTCCCATCTCAAGGGGAAGAGTCGAGATGTCGTCTGGTTTCGTGGCTGCCGGAACCGATCAGGAGCCGGTAGAGCGTGATGATGAATGGCGTCGTGCACAGCAGGAATTGGAGGAGGAGCGGAGACGCAAGGCGGAGCTAGGCAGGCAGGAGGGTGGGAAAAGTCTGTATGAGGTCTTGCAGCAGAACAAGAGTAAGTTACCGCATTTCGCAAAGACAGCTTGCGGTACTTTATTGGATGGATTTCCTTTGGACTGACATGTTAGGATGATTGTTCTGCTGCGTAGTGGCCAAGCAGGAAGCCTTTGAAGAAAAGATCAAACTGAAGAACCAGTTCCGGTCTCTGGACGAGGACGAAGTAGAGTTCCTTGACTCCATCATGGAGTCGACGCGTGCTCAAGAAGCGGCCGTGAAGAAAGAGACCGCAGAGCAGCTTGAACTATTCCGTCGGCAGCGAGAAGAAGCAGAGAAAGCTTTGCTGGAAAATTCATCAACAGATGTTGTGCCGTCCAATGACGGAGAGGACTGGAAGATTCCCGCGCGGAAGAGACGACGGGATAAAAGCAAAGAACTCCTGATACCAGGCAAAAAACGGAAATCCACAAGCGAAGGCGCTGCTGAACGGCCTTCGCCCAGCGAAAGTAAAGCAGAGGCTCCCAAAGTGCAATCTCCTTTGAAAGACAGCAAAATACCCACCGCTGTTGAAGTACCACCGGTTGCAGAGGTTACCAAGACGACCATATCCTTAGGGACCTCGTCTACGTCAGACACGCAAGGCGCGAAAGCAAGTCTGCCAGCGGCGCCAGCTGCAAAATCATCTACATTGTCCCTCGGGCTAGCCGGTTATAGTTCTGACTCTGAATGAACATGATCTCAAACTTATTACACTGTAAATACGTCGGTTAATTGGAATAGTTCCTCCGTTCAAGACATGAACACCGGTGTGTGAAATTATCCAATAGATAAGATCCACATCCGAGGAGGCAATCTATTACATTTCTCTAAATACACATGGCAGTGCCGCTCTACCTTCTTCTAGTTCAGTCAGGTACCCAAGAGAAAACAATTACCCGTACTTGCTGCTCATTATGATGCCTGAGATATTGGTCAAAAGCTAACCTTCTGAAATAGTCCGTGTACATTTTCTCAATTCGTTGACAAAGTGTCAATGAAAGAACAGAATACAAGACATTCTCACTCCATCTCAGACATATACAGCTCGAGACACCTGGCATCGGATTATGGAACAGCCTTGTTCCTCACTTCCCGGCTAGCTGCATTCTTCTCCTTATTATCACAGAATTCACTCGTGATGCGTCGCAAAAACAGCCTGTTTCTCTTGCTGTTCCTCGACCTTGCGCTCCAAGTCGTGCGGGGTATAATCCTCCTTGCGAGTACCAGGCACGATCCAGGGAGCGTTGGAGAACAGGTAGTTCATCTCCTCGAGAGGCAATTTCTTAGTCTCGGGAAGGAGCAGCCAGAAAAACAGTGCATTAGTGAAATTGCAGATGATGAAGAGATAGTAGTAGCGGTAGCGGATATTTGTCATGGCGATGGGCGTCACTTGACCGATCATGGTGTTGAACGCAAACGATGTCATTGTGGCAATGGAGACACCCTTCGAGCGTGTCCGCGTGTCGAAGACTTCGGCAGGGATAATCCACGAAAGGGGACCGCAGGTGCACGAGAAGGAGAAGTTGTACAACCAGGTCATGATGATGAAGCCCCAGTGAGCGCCGGTGTTGTTGGCTTCAGGAGGGAACCGCGCCAGCAGGATACAGGCGACGATGAAGGTGACCATGTTGCCCAGATTGCCACCGATGAGTGTCCAGCGGCGGCCGAAACGATCAATGAACGCCATGCATAGGCACTCCGCGACCAAAGCAATGATTGAATTGATAGCCTGGTACTTGAGCGTGTCGTCGCCCGCAATGCCGATCTGTTTATAGATTGTCACGGAATAGTATCTGCAAGGTTTTTATCGTTAGAACCGCACTGGTAGTCGTCACATACGGAGCATACTTACTGGATAGCCGAGACACCAGTCATTTGCACGGACGCCTGCACGGCACAGCATAGGAAAAGGCGGCGGAAGGACGACCGATTAGTGAATAACTCACTGTAGGACTTGGCCTCGTGCTCATGCTCATACACAATGGTCTCCTGGATCTGATTGTACTCTGCGCGCACCCACGCGTCATCCTCGTTACCATGAGCATGGAGCTTTGCAAGGGTCGCCAAGCCCTTTTCGTTGAAGCCATGGTCGATGAGCCAACGAGGTGACTGTTCTTGTGTTAGCATCGCATTCTGTAAAGAAAGCATTCCATCTTATTACCTCAGGAAAGAACATAATCAGTAGACCCAGGACGACTGCAGGGGCAATCTGCAGACCAAGTGGGACTTGCCACTGGGCGTTGTTCGTTGGATGAAATCCGACGTATGTACCATATGAGATCCACGCGGCGCACAGCGAACCGACACCCAGCATGAACTGCTGCAAGGACGTTACACGGCCTCGAATCTTGGGGTGGCAGATTTCGGCTTGGTACATGGGAACGATCATGGTGAGGAATCCAACCCTGGGTTCTCCATTAGCAAGGTCGCCCGCGTTTGAGGGGATTCACTTACCCAAGCCCGGCGAAGAATCGTCCGGAGTACAAGTATGAAATGGTCTGAGCACCAGTTTGAAGACCTCCTCCGAGGCAGAAGACGAGGCAACCGATCGCGATGGTCCATCGTCGTCCCAAATAGTCACCGGTGGGACCGGCAAACCCTGCGCCGAAGAACGCTCCGGCCGTGAACATGGAAACTACCAATCCACTACGCAGGTGTCAGACTTCATGAGCCCTCTAACCAGCAAAGGCAGATACACTCACGTTTGCGTGTCATTTGCGGCAAACTTTGCGTCAAAAGATTGGCACGCAATGACTTCTGCAATGACACCCAAATCATCTTGACACCGCAGGTCAGCTCTGTAAACACTTCAAGTCCAGTAGATAGGATACACACAGCCAAAAAGAAACGAACCCAGGGAGGCGAAGACGCCCACCAGGAACTAGTCGACAGATCAGTATGGTTGTTAGGTACCTCAGGCATTGGGGCACATACCTGGTACCACGACGGACTCAAGCGCATGGTCATCACCAATAAAGGATCTTGATTAATAGTAACAATGACTGTTCCTCTGGGGAAAGACAAAAAAATGCGGAGAATGAAAAGGATCGTCCTGGGGGTACTCCGCAGGGCCTTTTTAAGGATATCTACTCCATACTGGGGTTCAGAACCATGTAATAGAGTGGTAGCACCACGCGACGCAATAAAGCCAACGCCATATTGTTTATCGTGCAGCAACGATCTCTCGCGAAGCTTAGAACACGAATATCCGGTGGAGTAATTGCCAAAAGGGCAAGTTTCCTTGATCCTGGCACCTCACGCGGAACCTCCAAATTCTGAGCAGACTAGCTAACCGTGAGACTAACAATATCCTGGAGCAAAGCCAATCGCTCTTAAACCCATAGCAAGGAAAAGTCAAAAGATAGACATAACTGGGCTATGCGGGGGAGCTAGTTTCACGGTCTGAAAGTGAAAGCAACAAATCAGAACAGAAAACATCACCAGGAGACCAAGCAAGCTGATTGATGGAACAACTGGTGGCGTTCCCTCGGCTCCAACACTAAATAGGCGTCCCCGGCCAACTGCTCCAGTTGCCATCTCCTCATCAGTGGACTCATCGTTCAGAGGGCCTGGAATTTCCCCCGCAGGGAATTTTCCCAATTCAATAATAATGGAGCGATGACTGAGGATAAATCCAGCATACAAGCTGGAGATTCTGGGTGCCTTATCGAGACGACGCATCCGTTGCGGTTGCTTCGGATAATAGTACTGATTCCTTGTCATTCCTTCTTCCTCAGTCTATCGTTCCTGTTGGACTTGAGATCACTTAGTCCTTGAATATACTTGACTCATTTTGCTGGGATTTGTTGACTGCCAAATCCCACCATGACTACCTTCACGAAGCTCAGTGAGCAGGAGACGCCTAGTATCTCCGTTCATGCGTCGCGACGCATTTCCAAGATCAACCCTAATATCTATGCTGGGTTCACAGAGTAAGATCAACCCATGCTTGATGCTTAAGACATTGCAACTATCGCTACTCCGAGTGTTGTGCTAACCTAGACCTCAGGCATATGGGCCGATGCATTTATGGAGGCATCTATGACCCAGGCAATCCTCTGTCGGACGAGAATGGCTTTCGTAAAGATGTACTGGAAGCCCTCAAGGACCTGAACATCCCTGTTGTTCGTTATCCTGGTGGTAATTTTACGGCTACCTATCACTGGATTGATGGTGTAGGTCCTAAAGATCAACGGCCTGCGAGGTAACTGCATCTCCAGCTAGAGCTCCGAAATTATTTTTTGAGCGAATAGCTAACTCAAATCATGGCTCTAAGACCTGAGCTGGCTTGGCTGGGAACTGAGACCAACCAGTTTGGAACAGACGAGTTCATGAAGTGGTGCGAGCTTCTTGGAACTGAGCCTTACTTTTGCTTGAACTTTGGCACAGGTACGATATGGTCCAGCTGTTCTATAATGCGAATGCTGACATTTGTCCCCAGGAACTCTTGATGAAGGTAGAGAACTCCAGCTCCGTACTTCCTTTCAGCTTATACTGATCTCATCGTCTAGCTCTTGCGTGGGTCGAGTACTGTAACGGTACGAAAGACACTTATTATGCCAATCTCCGTAGGAAGAATGGCCGTGAAGAGCCTTATAACGTATGTCATCTGTGCTACTGGTCATTTGCCGGACACTAACATCAACCCTCCAGATCAAATACTGGGCTCTTGGTAACGAAGTGTGGGGACCATGGCAGGTCGCGCAGATGACCAAGGAGGAGTACGCTCACAAGGCCTACCAGTGGGCAAAGGGTGAGAACTCATTCGCTTCGACTCCGAAAGAACCAACCAGTCAATTAATATACTTTCTAGCGCTGAAGCTGCTCGACCCCACTCTGAAGTTGATCCTCTGTGGCCAAGACGGCACTGCCTCATGGGACTACTACACATTGAAGCAGTGCCTGCTTCCCGCTCACTCGCCTCTCTCTACTAGCACCGTTCCTCTCATCGACATGCACAGTATCCATATGTACACCTGCGGTTCAACTCATCTCCCCAACGTTACTGCTCCACTCGCCGCTGAACGCGCTATCGAGATTACCTCATCCCTCATCGACCTCGCCATGATTGAGAACGGCATTCCTCCTGACCAGCCGCGGCCCACAATCTGCTTTGACGAGTGGAACGTGTGGGACCCCCTGCGCGCTGAGGGAAGCAAGGGCGCCGAGGAAAGCTATACCCTCTCCGACGCTTTGGCCGTGGCCATCTGGCTCAACGTCTTTGTGCGCAAGAGCAAAGACGTCGGGATGGCCTGTATTGCACAGAGCGTCAATGTCATTTCCCCCTTGATGACCACTAAGGATGGTATCATAAAGCAGACTATCTGGTGGCCCTTGTATCTATTCTCGAAGTATATGCGAGGCTGGACCATCAATGCGCACGTCTCTTGCGGTGCCTATGAGGGCGAGACGAGTCCGAAGTGGATCCGCGCCGTCAAGGACACTCCCTGGCTGGATGTCAGCGCCACCTTGGGAGAGGACGGATATGTTAATGTTGCTGTCGTCAACATCAGCGACGAAAAGGATATGGAGTGCAAGTTCGAGGGGGCTACTAGTGATGTCACTGTATTCACCGTCACTGGAGACAGTGTCTCGGCCTGCAACATGAAGGGAAAACAGGAAGTTGGTCTGGCGGAAAGCACTTGGGACGGCAAGGGTGCCTACAAGTTCCCCAAGCACTCGTTCACTCTACTTAGATGGAAGGCGGAGTAAGTTTAGAGCTCTGATGACGACACGAATTTTCCTTCTTCATATCATTGTCTGGTCGGATTCTTTCGGCCTAACGATGCTATACGGGAATATAGAAATGGGCATGGTAGACATCACGTGACATTATTTCATCCATCTAAGACATGGTCTCATCACAGGTGATTAGGACTTTAGGAGTAAGACTTTCGTATGATCCTGAACCATATATCGTATATCGTAACTCAACCAAAGTGGACATCCTTGACTTTATCCTCCTCGTCAAGGTGGATGTTGAGTCTGACAAATAATTAGTCGTCAGCGATTGTCCATATCAACACAGACATAATGACCACGTAGGCATGCATACCTTTCCGGTCTATGATCCATAGTCATCGCGTCACCGGGACGAAGAACTCGATGGTGCTCGGGTAAATCCTTCTTCGCAAAAGTCTGTCCACCATCAGCAACGTGATTCACGAGTAGGGTAAAATAGTCAAAAACCGCACATTCACATCGCCGGTAGAGTCACTGATCTTTTTGCCGGCGAGCTTGCCGAGCCATTCGTTCTTATCAGAACCCATGTCCGAGTTGATTCCGGGGACGACGAGAGGCATGTTGGACTGTGTTTGTGTAAAGAAGTTTTGTACTTGTGATTTATGAAAAGGGAAGAGTTGAAATTTTCTCATTCAAGTCTGTCTTGATGATGATTCTTGATGGTGTATTCTCAAATTCGGGGGATTTATATAACTTGAAGGCAGCAATGATAAGCGACCATGACGTCGTTTGTGGAGAAGCAGGCAAAGTAGATCTATATATCCTTTTTGGGCTTAGTGTATCTGCCTCTATGATTATGATTTCAATGTCACGTGCTTGGTGGTGTGTGCTCTGTATCCCTTTCATCAACGTATGGTCTTTTAAGTCTCTGTAGATATTCTATAATAGTTGTGAATTGGTTTGAATGTCTCTATATGCCTCGGGAAATAATTATCAATGTTATCAGTCAGTGAGTAGCCTTCGCTAAGTACCAGAATCCTCCCCATCCTCTTAACATATTTTCAGAAATTGCAACGAGGTCTCCGAGACGTCCAAGCCTGATCACAACGCGGCCCAATTCTCCTATCTCATCCTGTGCCTCTTTGAATCTCTAATTTTAGACATGGCTTGATGCTGAAATCCAGCGTTACGTTTGTTTCTTGAAAATGGACAAAATGCGCAGAAGGAAGCTGCGCCGACCACTTCCATCGTGCCTGCTTTTACCGGCACAGTACCAAGCCTCAGCTGCTCAGAGAGTAACATGCGAATGATATCCAGACATCCCTTGTGGCGTCTCCTCCACTCACTGTACCTATGTCTTGAGTGTGAGCATTTTATGGCGATCCTAGGTCGACCTTTTGTGAACCAGGATGCAAGGACGCCTACTCGTCATGCTCGCATTACTTTGTAGTGCCATGTACACTCTCCAATCAAGCTCTCCCTTTGTGTGCTCTCCAGAACCTTCAATCGCTTCATCAGCATTACTGCCGTCACTATCCAGAATGGTATCCGCATCAATACCATCATCAACCGCACCGAAAGGGATTCGTTCATGGCCAAAGGATAGATTGGACAGCATCTACAATTTCTTCAAAAATAAACTACATATTCAGCAACTGAGCCTCGGGGAAAATGACCGATTGAACGTTGAGCTGGGAGAGGAGGCTGATACATCCGACGACCCCAGGCGCTTAGATTTCACCATTCCCTCGGGGGACTCGACAAAACACCGATCATTGACTGGGATCGAGACGCGCGCAGAATCTACAAATTCGCACAGCTTGGCTTCAAAAACCGATGGCACGCGTATACCAACAGCAGTGTACAAGAGAACCGCGAGCTCAACAGTGGATTATGTGACACCAACACCGTCGCATAAGTCCTTTCTCAAGCATTGGAGCTACAAGAAGAGCTCCATTGCCGCCGCAGTAATATTTATAGTTATTACCACTGTGGCATTTCTAGCCCTGACCGTCCTCCTCATCAGAAGGTTGAGACAATCCTGGAAGCGATACAAGAAAGGGAAACGCGATTTCGCGAATTCTAAATACGCTGCAATATCTCCTCTCGACGACAACATTGCTAACTACTCATTTGGCAGCACGCCGAAAATCAGACGCAGCCGCGAAATGTCGGTATCTGACAAGAGCCGTCCAACTACTAAGGCATACGTCGCGGAAGAGGCGACGAGACTGGAAGCGGTGACTCGAGCACTTTGCGCACACGCAGATGCCGTGCCGGTTTCGCCTCTTGGCTCATTTGCTGCTCCGAAGCAGTCAGAAGCCAGGCTCCCACAACCGTTTATGCCAGAGCGCCCAGGCAAATCCGAATTGCCAGCAGAGCCATGGCGGGCCGGCTTTGTTCCAAAGCAAGTGGTCGTTGTTTCTCCTTTGAATCGAATGGTGTCAGGAAAAGCAGCAGAGATTGGGTGGCAATCATCGTCGAGAACTATCGATGAATCAAGCTTGCCTAAGTCGGAAGCAGGTCCTCAAAGGCCACACCGAAAAGCTCGTCGCGAGGTCCGCAACCCGACTCCGTCTACAGACCAACCTTTCCGTCTTCCATCAATCGAGAGAAGCACGTCACCTCTTTTCGAATTCTGAATGTACATGCCACTTCGTTCAAGCGTTCTGATCCTCACGGATCACGATTTCACGCCATAGCTTTGAGTAACGTGCCCTTCCCCAACCATTCGGCCCTGATACGCTCGTCGAGAGGTTTGAATACTCTTGATTTGTCAATTGCTTAACGGTTCTAATGGACATTACTCGAGGTCAAGCATTTTGTTTGATTGTAGGCTGTATGACCATTGAACACATACCCATGTCGTCGGAAAGAGATAGTCACAAGAGTTGTACATCCTTGAATCTCTTTTTCCTCACAAGCTGTATAACTATCGGACATGATCCTTTCTAAGGAAGAATGGCAGACAATGCATTGATGCCACCGTACCTCGTCCTCATTTTCATCAGCGTCGTCACAGATGTGATGGGTCATTAAAAATTAAAGGCTTTGAACGACAAGTAGGCACAAAGCTAATCTATAGGCAAGCAAATGAACCACCGGCACATAAAGTCTATCTATCGTACTGTACGGCTGTTCATCTCGCGTATCCGGTTCAAGCACCGTTCAAGGCGTTTCCCTCGTTCCCTTTCTCGGACCAGGGTGGACCTGACAAAGGCGCGGATGGCGTCCCGGCCAACTTTCTCCCGCCAGGATGTCCACCCGGCGAGTTCCCCGACCACAACATCCTTGTTCCATGAGATTTCCCGGGAGAGGCGTCCGATATGGGCTTCAGCCTCTTGGATCTTGTGTTCCAGATCGCGAACTGACTTTTGTCGGGATTCCTCCAGGCCTGGGAAGTTGATGTTGAATTTCCGGGGCAGGGACGAGGAGATGAGAGAGGTGCGATTGCGGGAGAGATTGCGGGTTGTGGATTGTAAGTTCGATATGAGCGAAATAGGGCGAGAGAGCGAACCGAGTATTGCGACAGTCGTGTTGTCGATCGAGGAAAAGATGGATAGGAACTGAAGAAGGGGAGAGGAGTCTGAGGATGAGGTTGACAAGTACGAGGCGTAGCGGGCGAAAGCGTCCACATGTGAACGGGGGAGCGCGTTTGTAGGCTCCTGGAGAGTAGAGACCACCGACGAGCACAGAGCCAGCGCGTCAGCCATATCTGAGGCGGCATTCTGCAAGGAATGACCACGGCGAATCAGACTGCGTGTGTTGGCGTGAAGGGCACGAACCATGTCCTGGGCCTGTGCCACGAACTGTTCTGTCTCGCGCATGCCTTCAGCTGTCACAGGCGCGTAGTCGTCCGCAATCGACTCGGAGAGCACCAACGCCTTGCGCCGGGACCTGTCCGTCATCATCTCCGGCTGTAGCTCGGGCACCAGGAAGAACTCCCACAGCATCTCATGGGTCGCAAAGGTTGGATGGGTAAGCAGGATTTTCAAGAATCTGTCTAGTCTCTCTTGCATGTTGTGGAGAACAGACCGAGATGGTTTGGAATGGATTTGAAAAGGATTGCGAAAGTCAGAAAAGGAAGGGATATAAGAGGCCGGATGCTCCATTGCGAGGCACTGAGCAAGATTCTCAAAGTCCGAGAGGGTGCGACGACATGTAGTGACGATGTAAGTGGTGGAGCCAGCTCGAGACTCGTCTGACTGGGACTGAGAGCTCGGGGCGCCGGACTTCAAAACAAAGCGTACTGTGGCATCCTCAACGAAGTACGAGCGTACAACCGTGGTGACACGACCAGATGGATCATCATATGCCGAGGGCGAATTCGAGACAAGAATAAGATCGTCAATGCGATTACGGACTTCATCGTCTTTGGCGAGCTCGACAGCCGTCAATCCGCGAGCTTCCTTGAGGTGAACGTCGACCCGGGGGTCCAAAAAGAGGATACGCACTTGATCCACACGGCCGTACTTGCTGGCCATCATCAGCGGAGTGAACTTCTTCTCGTTGGTTGCGTTTGGATCGCAATCGCTTTCTTGTAGAATTCGGATTGTGATCTCTGGATCACCGACGATGTGTAGCAGTGTATTTCCCTTCGAGTCAACATGATCGTCGAGCCGCAAAGGCAAGCCGTCTCCCTGAGACCTTTGAGCGGCGGTCAACGCCTCGTTGACCATCGATTTATAGTCAGGATGATCATAAGATCTGCACAGAGCAAACAGCGGCGTCTGGCCATTTCTGTCACGTTGTCGCCAAGGAACGAGTCTTTCCAGTCTATACATTACTGATGGCGTACTGAATAAATAGTGGGCGACTGTGCGTCCGTGCATGTCTGCTTTTTTAAGGTAACCAGCAATTGTTCGCTCGTCCGTTGCACTGAACAGAAAGTCGAGCAAAGTTTCTACCATTTCAGGGTGACCGAGTTGCACTGCGGCACTGAGCAACGTCGTTCCATCGGTGTTTGTATCCTCGAGAATGTCTTCCAATGAATAGTACTCTTCCAGGCTGAGCAAGTACCTGAGAGCCTCCGGCTGGCGACTGTCAACGGCCATCATGGGAATTGAATCACCCGCAGGATCTTGCGTTTTTGTCAACGTCTCGATTGAGCTGTCCCCTTCAATTGCACTGGTCATCGATTCAATGGTGGTGGTGCGAGAGAGAAGTGAAGTAGCTGACGACTCCGATATGCTGCGTACATCCATCGAGACTTTCTTCACAGGACGCTGAACTTCCTTCGTCGGTGAGGTGTTTGCCCATGTTTGAAATGGGAACACATGTGCCAGCGGTGGCACCTCGGAAGGACTTTCATCAAGTTCTTGAGGTTCATTATTTGATCTTGAGAGCCTTCGATGAATAGAAGGTCCTCGTAGCGGTTCATCCACTTCTCCGTCCTCATCAGTTTTGAAGAAGACTGATTTCCCTTCTGGCTCGTCCGGGGCATCGTCCATTGAGCTATGGTCACCTTTGGGTTCAAGAATGGCCTTCATTTCGCCAACTCGGCCGGCTCTGGTGGCATTCCACAGGCGCTTGTTGCGAATACTGGCTCTTCTGAGGCCCGCTGAATCAGTCACTAAGTACGTAAGGACTGCCTCGAATGTGCTCAAAGCATAACCCATTTCACCGCTATCAACGTCGTCGATATAGATGAAGTGCTGCATATACAGGAGTCTTGCTTGAAGATGTCTGACCTGGGATCTGATCACCACAATAAGTAACAAGGACACCAGAATATCGGCATTTACGGTGACAGGCGCAATCTGTTTCTCCGAGGCTTGAAGATTCGCGTTATCATACGTCCCGGGGTACGATAAGACCTTGACAGTCTCCAGCAAAGTATTGAGCATGTCGTGCGGACACTTTGCGTCCGTCATCTTTCGGAACTCCTCGACCGCTCTCCCGAGCCGATGTAGCAGCTCCCTTTTGCCTTCTCGGCCTCCTTCGACAGCGATACCTACCTGCGAAACATCTAGATTCTCCATATGACGGATTCTGGAATCTAGTTCTGCGTCCTCGGGTTGACGGAAACTGCATAGTCGAGGGAACAGCAGCGGTTCGTGCACTTGTTCGGCAACATAACGCTCAATCAACCGTTCTACCAGAGGTCCAGTCAGGTCGGTTGTCGCGCCGAGGAGAGACAACTGCTGTTTGTCCACGAGCCGGAACAGATCGATGGCGGCGGTAACTGCCGTCTCCAGACTGCGGCGCATCAAGTCCTCATCATCTTCGAAGTACTCCTCGGAATTAAAGGGAAGGCCTTCTCTGTTGCGGGACGATGCGCTCCGAATAGAAGCGACTTCATCCGCCGAAGATTCATCGCGATCCGGTTTACGTTCGTACTCATCAGGGATGGAAGGCGAGCGCGACGGAGGTGGCGGTAACGGCTTCCCCAGTTCTTTCCCAAATTCTCGAAATAGTCTGTCCAAGCCTGGCTGCATCTGTCTTGCGATCATAGGAAAATTGGCCAGCAGTTCTCCAAACGACTTGATTTCCTTCTTCGGTAATGAAGTGGTAGAATCGCCAGACTTAGCACCAGTATTTGTGACTACCCTTTGAGGTAGCGACCCGGGCACTACAGCAGAAATGATCTTCCCCGGGTCGAATAAGCCGATTAACGGGCGGGAGATGTAATAGATAAGCCATGGCTGAGAGTCGGTACTTGGAGTATAGTACAGAGCGTCGGACAGGAGCTGAGCTTGGGTTAGGGATTTGAAGCCTGACAATGTGATTCAGCACAGGAGAAAAATGCAGAACAAAAAGAGGCTTTTTTACCTTTATTGCTGTAAACCGAGCTCTCTTTGACAATCACGGTTCGCCCGTTGACAGTTGTCACCTGCTTTGCCTTCCCCCTGCTATCCCGAACGTTCGAATCGTCCTTGGCGTTTCCGGTAGCTCCATTGGCAATCGGTATTCGCAGCGTATGACTTCCCAGAAACTCTTCGGATACCACAAGATCGGAATAGAGGAGGTTGGACTCGCGGTCTCGCGACCCGATTAAGGATTCCGTAATCGGAACGAGGAGAACCTGCAGCAAAGGTAAGAGAGTATTCCCCAGGCTTAGTCCAATATGATCCCAACAAGGCATACATGATTCTCTATCGGCAGGCACTGCCCTGGGACAGTGCTTCGGAAGAAGGCACGGAGAAAGGGATTTAGAGGGTGCATCCAAACGGTCTTGGACGACGGCCCGAGAAAGAAATTCCGGCACTCATCAAGCCGTTCGTCTGAATCCCAAAGTCGGGTTCGCGCTGCACCCGGTGATCGTCACAAGAGAGGAACAGTTACGGCGCATACGCTGGCTGAGGATCTAGTAACCGCGGAGACCCGACTATTGCTGAAACTTTCAAACAAAAGTCAAACCTATGTAATGAATGTCGGACGGACAAGATTCCATGCAATCAGACAAAAAGAGATAGCAGAATTGAGATTCACGTAGCAACGTTTGCGATCAAAGATGAGGAGCTGAAGCCTTTCAGCCAGCAGCTTTCGGACACTGGAGCTCATGCGCTAGTCCGTATTTGGTAAGCTGCTAATTATCTATGGCAAGCAATGTTGTTTGATGCATTCAGAACTACTATGGTGTTCCTCAACATCTCTAAAATGCTAGCGCTCAAGTAATGGCATTGACAATGCTAGGTAAGGAAGATGCGAGTTGGCGTTAAGATGAGATCAAGATGCGAAATACAACCTATAGAATCTTTTGTGTATCTCCAGTAGTAAAACACGACTAATGTACAAATATAGCTGCAGCCCAGACCGAGTTCATGGAAGAACTCAGACACTGCAGATCACATAGGAGTCTCAAGGAATCCCAGTTGTGCGAGCCAATGCCTGATACTGAAATGGGTGCGCTGTCCACCAAGCTCCTTGCTTTCTGTTTAACGCTGAAGCCAAGGAACATATGCCTTTCGAGGCAATGGGTATGAGACAATATAGATACAACGCAGAATTATCCCAATCTGCGGACCTTTCTGCTTCTCGTACCACCGAACTTTATCCGTGTCGAATCTGTCACTCGACTGACCAGCCCGCGAATATTCCTTCCCTCACTGCCAAGCAGAACCTTGGTAAACGCTTCCCGACCCTGACCGAAGCCCTGAAAGACGATTTCAAGTCGTTGGATGTTCATGAGATAGCCTCTTTCCTGAATTTGACCAAACACGTGGGACGTCAACTGATAAGCTGGGTCATATCCAGAACGTCCACCTTTCCGAAAGCCGAGGTGTCCACAGCTCATCGACAGCATTGGGTTCCCGTTCGGTTGGGTCAGCGTGAGGAGTGTATTGTGTTTGTGGGCGTAAACGTGAAGATGGTGAGGAGGAGAACGATCGGCATATGGGTCTTTAATCATCTCTGCTTCCAAACTCTCGGCCATGCGGGAATAGTCGCGACTGACGGCCTGGCTAGCGCGAGCTTTTTCTCCCTGCATCATTCTAGTAATAGCAGAGAGCGGCGAATTGTCGTCAGTGGTCTGTTCTGACTTGGGATTCAGAATTTGTCTCTCAATCTCGCGAGTCTTTTCTTTCGCGCTTGAGCTGGGGTTCATGGTGGTAGAAAATGGACGCATCACGCGCTGGGAGATCACTCGTGCCTGGCATGATCGGCTAGTATGTGACAATGCCCTGACCCAGGAGTTGAAAGAATTCATCTTGCTGCGTGGCCGAGAATAATATCGGGGACGTCCGGCAGTTGAGGCGAATAAGGGCAGCGAAAGGCCAGTCGAATTGGCGCAGGATAGAACCTCGAATTGAGCGGAAGGCCGATGCGATAAAGAAGTGAAAAAAGAGATCAAGTACAAAGCTTCAAACGAGATGCAGCATACACTCAGCTAATCCGGTTGAATCGGCAACAATAATACCTTGTCGACGGGACCTGGAGAAAATGGCGGCGGAAATGGCGAGGCCCGAAGTTTTCGATCTTGGCACCCGCGATCTCAACTTTTTTCCCTTCTTCACCAGTCGAATCGCTTCTTCTCTTCTACTCCCCACGCCCCAAAGCTACTTACTTCCTTCTCAACATTTGGGGTCTGACCCATATTCTTCGTCACCCTAAACTAATCTTGCGATATTTGACTTACATTTTGTCTCCGGATTTCCAGAGCATGATCTCGGCTAACAAAATGTCGGCTGTCGCACGGGCGGCCACTTTACGGTCCCATGTTCCCGGCCTGAGGACGACATACGGCAATGCCATCGCTTCTTCGCGGACTCTGATTCAAAATAGCGCTTATTCGACCTCCATCTCTACCTCGCCTACAGTATTACAGCGCCAACAATCGTCCCTCCCCACAGGCGTTCAACTTATCTCTCCGTATACTGTTTTGCCATTGACGCGGTCGTTCCATATTGCCACTGCCCGTTGGCAACAACAGCAAAAAGAGAAGCAGAGTGAAGAACAAAAAAGTGAGAAGAGCGAAGAGGCGAAGAGTGAAGGGGACAAGGAAGAAGGGCAGAAGGAGGCGCCTCCACCACCGCCGCCTCACGGAGACAAGACTCCATGGCAGGTTTTCAGAGAGACTCTCCAAGCAGAGTTCAAGGCATCAAAGGAATGGAATGAGTCTACTAAGGCTCTCGCATCCTCTGCTCATGAGTTCGCCGAGAACGAGAATGTCAAGCGCGCTCGTGCCGCTTATGAAGCCGCTTCGGGTGCAGCAACTTCGAAGACGTCGGCTGCGTTAAAAAAAACCGGTCAGGCCATTGGAAAAGGAGCTGCATGGACATGGGAAACCCCTGTTGTTAAGGGTATCAGGAAGGGTGTCAGCGCCACTGGTGCCGGACTTGAAAAGGCCACAAGACCCGTACGTGAGACGGAGGCCTACAAGAACGTAAAGGAAGCCATCGATGACGGAAGCAGCTCTCGCTATGGTGGCTGGATTGAGAAGGAGGAGCGCCGTAGACAGCGGCAATTGCGTGAGCAGAAGGAAATGATGAAGAGCGGGCGCCGTTCGGCCGAGCCGCTGGTTGAAGATCCAAAGTAAGTGCTACTTTCACATGGAGCTTTTTCTTTTCACAATTCTGATGATTGCCTGGTGCAGTGCGGGTACCAACCTCACTCTTCACAAGGACTCTGCTTGGAAAGAGTCGTGGCGCGAATTCAAGGACTCAAATCCTATGATGCAGAAACTCTTCGCTCTGAAGGAGACATACAACGAATCTGAGAACCCTCTCATCAGTACGGCACGCAGCATCTCGGATCGTGTCGCTAGCTTCTTCGCCGAAAATGAGACTGCCCAGGTCATCAAGAAGTTCCGGGAGATGGATCCCAATTTCCAGATGGAGTCATTCCTGAGGGAGATGCGCGAATACATTCTACCAGAAGTACTGGATGCCTACGTCAAAGGCGATATTGAGACGCTCAAGCTCTGGCTCTCTGATGCGCAATTCCATGTTTACGCTGCTCTTTCCAAACAATACACCACTGCGGGACTCAAGTCGGATGGCCGCATCCTCGATATCCGAGGTGTTGACGTTTCTCACGCCCGTATGCTGGAGCCAGGCGAGATTCCCGTCTTCGTTGTGACCTGCCGTACACAGGAGGTACATGTTTACCGTAACGTTAAGACGGGCGAACTCGCAGCTGGTATGGAAGACAAGGTGCAGCTGGTTACCTATGCCATTGGTCTTACGAGAATACCCGAGGACGTCAACAATCCCGAGACCAGAGGATGGAGGTTGATTGAACTGCAGAAGGCTGCCCGTGACTACATCTAAGGTCCTCGCAACATCTACTCCTATCTACCTTATCCTTAACAAATTCTCAACCGTCACTCTCCATTTCGTGATTATCGGCGGCCTTTGATGATGAATCACCTCTCATACTCTTCTCGATTGTTTTGATATCATGCCACTGTACCATATCGACTATCTAAATAGAGACTCGGCGGAACCGGCGCTCATGTTTTATCTGTGATAGTAGCTTCGGCCTATTGATCCATTTCTTCAATGTCTTTTCTATTCCTTTTTTTATTATCTACCTGAGTACCTTTGTCCTCTCTACAGATTTCATGGACCTGGTTTACCAATTTTCCTGGCCTTCATGGTCTCTCTGAGGCGGTCGCCGTCAGCAAAAGGCTGGGCGGACGGATCGTTACGAATGGCGAGGACGTCTTTGATCCTGGATTGTCTGCATAATAGCCAATGTCCTTTCTTTCCCTATCACTATGGGCGTATACGGCGTTGTATTATGTGATCTGCGACAACCAACTCCACTCCGAACATTTTCATGTATTGGCATCTGGAATCATACCCAGCCTTTTAGCCGGTTTCTGCTGCTTTTTGGTACGAGCTACCTGGACATATATTTTGATAATTGTTACTACAATGCACTGGTGGCTTCTTGGTGTGCCTTGTCAGGGTAAACCTATATCTAATCAGTGACAAATATAACTGACTACTCCGTAATTTTGGCGAGGTTGGATATCATTTAGCGATTATAGCTTCTATCCGTTTGCAAAAGTCATGACGAAGCTGGTTGGCCCGTATTCAATAATCCACAGGTGGGTGAAGCCAGAGAAGGTGAATATCTTTTAGACAAATTCAGAGGTGATATATCGTAGCTGGATGGAAAAGGGGAACTTTTATGCAACGGAGGGTAACTTGGTTTACTGCTGACCTCCACGCCCGGCACCGCCCATCATGTTCCTTGCCCTATACAATTTTGTTAGTTTTCTGTGCCAGGAAAGAAGTGCATGTATGAACTTACATCTCCGCAAGGCTTGGATCGCTCATCAAGCTAGACATGTCAGGCATTCCGCCGCCCCTGCCGAAGTTCTCGGCCATCTGCCTCAATTGAGGGTTGCTCATGAGGTTGTTCAGCATGTCTGGGTTGCTCATCAAGTTCTGGGCCATGCTCGCGAACATGGGGTTGCTCATGATAGAGCTAAGGTCGGGCATACCACCACCGCCGCCACCTCTGCCACCAAGCATGCTGGCGAGAGAAGAAAGATCAGGCATTCCACCAGCACCGCGCGATGCTCCAGCGGCATCGTCGACATCGTCCGTAGGAGGCTCGGCACCACGGCTGGCCTCTTCGATCTTCCGCTTGGTGGTTTCCAGACCTCTTTTCATCGCATCGCTACCTCCGTTCCCTTCCGCCTCAATACCCTTTTCGTAGGCTTCCTTTGCTCCCTTGTAGTCTGCCATATCGAACCGCGCGAGACCGAGACGGCTCCAGGCCTTGGAGTACTTGGGATCCACAACAGTGGCGAGTTCCGCATCCTCCGCAGCTTTCTCATGTTGACCGGAGGCAGAGTAGGCAGCAGCACGGTTTGAGAGATAAATGGGGTTCGCGGGGGCAATGGACAGGGCCTGGGTGTAAAGATCGATCGCCTTACTGTATTCCTTGCGGGCCATGGCAGCATTTCCCTCCGATTTCAACTTGTCGGACTCGGGTGTGGGGGCACCAGCCTTGGGTTGCTGTGCCTCTGTGCTCTGAGCCTGCGCCCCAGCACTGGCGGATTCTGTCGAAGGCTTCTTACGGAGCTTCTCGTAGACGCTGAAGATGCTCGCCAGAGATTGTCCGCCAAGAGCGTCCTTGACGGCGGCCTCATCGGAGGGGTCGACCTTGAAAGTGTCCGCAATACACGACTGAGCGATCTCAATGGATTCAGCGTCATCCGCAGTCAGAGTGCCATCCTTTAGGCTGGAGTTTAAAAAGTCAATAATCGCAAGCGCCAGGCGCTTCTGAGACTCGGTGGGAGCCTAGATGGAACAGGTGTTGGTAAGTCACTGATCTGTCATGAATACGGGTGTATTGGAGAGCCGGACCATCTTACCATTTTGTGAACTGACTGAATATCGCACCAAAAGGTCGGGTTGGGTCAAAGTCAAAAAAAAATAAGGACAGATAAAGCAAGCGGAAGACTGGAGAATCAATCGAATGCTCGTGAAGCTGAACAAATGCGGGGGGCCTTGCCGTGGTGTTTGCTTTGTTTGTTCTGTTTGTCAGGGGAAGCTCCGGTGCACGTGACGATGGGATCATCATCAACATGTCGACTTGAATACAATTGTACACATCAGATATTCGTTCGATTTGATGGCTCAGGCGTGGAGGACTTTGATAATCACGGCGGGTCTCTCTGGGATTGGAATGTCCCGAGTTTGACACATCAAACTCCACCCTAGAGCAGTCGAAGATGACTCGATGTGAGCTCCTTCTCCTGTCTGTGACTATCGCACCCAAGTCGAGCGATGTACTGGCCAAATGGAGTTCCGCGGGTCTATGCGATCAATGGCCCAGGGATTCCAGTTACTTCACATATCGAGCCCGAGGCAAAGGAGCTTGAGATTGCCGAAGAGGAGAGTGCAACGGATCACAATGTTAAGGGAGAGGGGCCCGAAACTGAGTCGGCCTGGGCCAATGAGGCCATTACTGGTCTCTGTATTTCTCGGAGCGGTCACATATTTGCGACGATGACCGACTCCTCGATAGCTGTTTGGCAGACTAGAGTATGACCTTGCGAGCCTCTTGGATGTTATGGAGTGTGAATTGATCTGCTGACTTGCCGTTAGCCTACCGCAGTTGTTGCTGCGATTGCCCGCTCCGCCTCGTCCATGAAGACATATGGGT